GGTTGACGCATCACGGATGAAGTGTCAGCTCGCATACAAAAGGCTCGGTTGGCATAAGCCAACTTGAGACATCCGTGGCACCGTCGCGATTGTGAAGGGTTGAGTGTATGCTGCAGCAGTTCGGCCAGTTCTGATATATAGCTCAGAGACTTGGCCATTAAGAAAACAGGATAAAGTTGAACTGTCGGTGTTTAAACATCGGTGTCTGCGCAGCATTGCACGAATCTGGCGGGACAGCCGGACGCGCAATGCTGAGGTTAGGTTCGGTCGTCCGCTGGAGCGAATGTTCGACCTGCGTAGATTACGTTGGTTGGGCCATGTGTTACGCTTGTCGTCAGCTACGTTGCCAAGGCGAGCGACGTTCACCGAAGCAGGTAGTGATTGGAAAAAAACCAAGACTGGTCAAGCTAAAATCTGGCATGAGGGTATGAAAACGCTGACCAGGAGTCTGGGTCACATAGGTCCCGTTAAGCTCCCTGGATGGAGACCTCGAGACGATCATACCCGATGGTTGGAGACACTGAGTGATATGGCTGGATGTCGTAAACAGTGGCGTTCGTGCATCTTGTCAATTTCTCTGTAACATTAGTCGACTGAAATCCTGAATTTTCTCCTTGGTTCTACTTTCAACCTTTCCTATCTTTCTCCCTATGTTCATCCAAATGGGCAGCCAAAAGACGGCAACCAAAACTGGCTTACGACAGTGCATGGTTAATGATTGTCCAAACTGAACTGAACTGGGAAACAGTAGTTCCCCCAAAATCATACATGGAAAAGAGTTCTTGTGCCATTCACGCGGTGCATTATTGCGATAAGTTCTTCGTTTCTAGTTTCCAAGTGGCGTCTCTGACTCATGGTACATTTGGGATCGAATACCAAGTAGCGTATCAATGATCAAACTGTTGAGTGACCCGGCGTTTCTCAAATCATCCGTGAGGACATCATTTATTGAAAGCTCCCTGTGAAGTTCACACAGCATAGGCAAACACTTGACTATGATACACGTGAGTGGGGGAATGCCACCAAACCTGTGCACGTCGTACAACCCAAGCTGATNTCGTTACAATCACTAAGCTAGTAACTATCCAGGTGAATATGAATCTATACAATGATGGATATTGCGACACGGAAAACTAGTTTTCCAAAAAACCTATTAACGTGTGACTTCACACTATTACGTGCCCCTTTCTCTTCTGTTTCATCACAGTATGCCAGTGTTGTCTCCAATGGGGAACATTACATGACTCCCAAAGATTTTGTTGTCCGATTTCTACGTTTGGCCGATGAGGAAAATTATAACGAAGCCACCGTGGAATGTATTGCGCGCGCGGCTGACACATCCAAAGACGGGTAAGCAATTCGGTACATACATTTATAATTTGTCAATATTCCCCATGACGATAGTGCTGTGCATTTTTACTACACGCCATTGTTCGCTGAACGCAAGCGAGGGTTAGCCCCACAGTTACAAGGTTCTCCTGCTGAGTCCTGATGGGCGGTAACCCTAACACTTGAAATAGCGAACGACACAAGGCCCCTCTTGGATAAACGTGATATCGAGCTGGAATACAATATCACAGTTCGAATCGTTTGTTTTTGCGGGATCTGGCTCCTCCGTGTCGATGGCTTTCCGTGGTCTATAATCGCTGTCCGTAAAGCATTTCCCGCATCTGGTGGCAATCACCAATCCCAGCAGCGGGCATTATCAGCTGCAGATAGTTGTTGTCCAAACAAAATGATAATACCCCTTTTAATGTCTTGGACACGTACTGTACATATTTGT